CTTGACCCTTGTCAACTCTACTATACACCTGGGAATTCTGATCATTCACATAAATTTACAGGACCATTGTCTGCAAGATCAACAAATCTATTGAAAAAGTTTGTATTACCAAGCTAATTCACTTGAAAGTTGTTTAAAGTAACTAGGAAATGCCCACTAATTATCGTTAATAGAAAAAATATACAATAACCAATAGACATTCCCTTACCTGTCTCTGGGGCCAAGCAGCTTTGAGAATGGCCTCTGTTCTAAAGAACACAAGAAGCTTGCCATCCTCCTCAGTCAGATGAAAAGACTGCTCCACAATCTGCAGCACATGGATGCGAGGCCTCACGGGCAAGGTGTCATCTGCACAGAAAGGCCTCAGCCATTCTAGCAGCTCCTCAGAAGAAACCAACTCTTCTCTGTAAGTCAAAGTCAAGGGTTAGACATAAACTCTAAGTCTTTTGTTTTTCCCCCAGTACCCAAATGTGGTTACTAACCTAAATATTTATTTTCTGAGTTACTATTATTGTGCTGTTAAGTTTTAAATGGCATTGACAAAACACATTATCTACTATGCATATGCATGCAAACATGTAAAACTTATATAAAATGAATGTATTTTTAAAATAATATCATACTAAAATTTTACAAAACATTAACAAGTATGTCTTTATTATTGTTGTTAGGTGTTGTCAAGTCAGCTCTGACTCATAGCGACTTAAACACTGGCTGGTCCTGTGCCATCCTCACAATCCTTGCTATGCTTGAGCTCATATATCCTTAGCTAGCGCCTAAGGGCATTTGACTGCTAACCTCAGAAGGAAGTTTGGGCAATCGACTTCCTTAGTGATACTGCCTCAGGAACCCAAGAAGGGGTTGCTATGAGTCGGGATCGACTCGATGGCATATAACAACACAACAACAACAGTGCAAAGTTTAATAAGTAATACAATTTATTTCTATTAATGATACTATTAGTGCCAGGCAACATATTAATAATTTTTATATACATTATTATTGGTGGGCAAGAACATGTAAAGTAGATATTATAAATTTTATTTCATAGATGAAGAAATAGTTTTCAGGGAAGTGATATACTGTGCCCATAAATATCTGTAATTGATGATGGATTGTGACTTCAACAGCCATGTTCTTTACTGTCATTAGACTGTCAATATAAAATAAGAGTATCAAATTTTATGCTTCCCTAAGATCAAATAAGGAGCTCTGGTAGCATAGTACCTAAGGCACTTGACTGCTAACCAGAAGGCTGGCGGTTCAAATCCATCAGCCACTCCTCAGAAGGAAGGTTGGGCAATCTA